AGAACATGATCAGAGTAGGTGACCAGCTCAGTCCGAACCAGGTCATGTGAGTATCAGCAGAAGAGTTGGGGACATTTGGCCTTGAGCAAAAGAGTCTCAGGGCTCACAGTCTAGCACCTCAGATCTCTGCAAGGCTGTCCTGGGGCATGAGGAGAAGACATTTTGTGAGAAGCCAGAGAACAGAGCTGGGATCAGTGGCAGAAGCCATAGGGAGGCAGATGTTGACTCAATAAAGGTAGACCTTTCTTAGAATAGACCTGGAAATACTCCTGTAAAGATCACCCTCATCACTCTGGGCTGTATTTGGTTCATCAATTTGTAACTCTTGGTTTAAAAAAAAAAAACAGCACCCCCAAGCCTGGAAGGTAATCAGGAAAAGGCTAATTGTGGGATTCAGCTAAGGAGATTCTTGCACTGAATAGAAGGTTGAACTAAACCCCTGTACCAAATGGAATGCCTTAAAATGCAAGCTTAAATAACAAAGAATCCCAAGGAATCTACAGAACACACACACGCAGAGACACACAAAACAACTTCCTGGAACTAATAAGTGCATTTAGCAAGCTCATAGCATGTAAGGTCAGAACCAAGCATCAATTGTATTTATATATGTTAGCAACAACAATTGGAGACCAAAATTAAAAACACATTAATACCATTTATAGTCACTCCAAGAAAAGTGAAATACTTAAAAAAACTAACAAAATATGTACAGGATCTGTATGATAAAAACTACAAACTGCTGATGAAGGAAACCAAAGACCTAAATAAATGGAGAGACATGCCATGTTCATGAATTGGAAGACTCACCACAGTAAAGATAAAAGTTGCAGCAGATCTTTTGTATATATAAACAAACTGATTCTAAGATTTATATGGAAAGACAAAGGAACTAGAATAGCTAAAATAATGTTGAAAAAGAATAATAAAGTTGGAGGAAATCACACTACTCGATTTTAAGACTTACTATATAGCAACAGTAATCAGGACAATGTGATATTGGAAGAGGGACAGACACATAGATCAAGATAGACTCCAGAAATAGGCCCACATTGTAAGTATATCCAACAGATTTTTGACGAAGGTACAAAAGCGATTCAATGGGGGAAGAATAGTCTTTCCAATAAATAATGTTGGAACAACTAGACTTCCATAGGTAAAAAAAATAAACCTTTACCTAAACCGCACGCCTTATACAAAAACTAACTCAAAATAAATATAAACCATAAAACTATAAAACTTTTAGAGGAAAACAGGAGAAAATCTTCATGACCTCGAGTGAGGCAAAGAATTCTTAGACAGGGCACCAAAAGCACAACTCATTAAAAAAATACATTGGTCATTGGTCTTCATCAAAATTCAAAATTCTTGTGCTGCTAAAGACTCTATTATTAAGAGATGAAGAGACAAGCCCCGTACTGGGGAATAATATTCACATATCCAACAAAGGACTTTTATCCAGAATATATAAAGGATCCCCTAAACTCAACATTAAGAAAACAAACAATCCCATTAGAAAATGAGCAAAAGACTTGAACAGACACCTCACTGAGGAGGATATACATATAGCAAATACACACATGGAAATATGTTTCACCTACATTAGCCATTAAGGAAATGCATATTAAAGCCACAATGAGGTACCCCTTCACCTGTCAGAATACTAAAGTAAAAATGCTGACGATACCAACTGAGGACGTGGAGCAGCTGCATCTCTCATACATTGCTGGTGGGGATGTAAAATCGTATAAGCCACTTTGGAAGACAGTTTGGTGTTTTCATCAAGAAAAGATACTTAATATATATGTTTCCTATTGCCAGTGTAACAAATTACCACAAACTTAGTGGCTTAACATAATAGAAATTTATTCTTTCACAGTTTTGGGGGCCAGAAGTTCAAAATCAGTTTCACTGGGCCGAAATCAAAGGCTTCAGGGAGAATCTGTTCCTTGCCTCTGCCAGTTTCTGGTGACGGTTTCAGCATTCCTTTGCTGGTAGCCGTAGCACTCCAATCTCGACCTCTGTCTTCACATAGTCTGTGTGTGTCTGATTCCCTCTGCTTTTCTTTTGCAAGGGCACTTGTGATGGCATTTAGGGCCCACGCGGATAACTCAGGATAATCTCCTCATCTCAAAACCCTTAATCACATCTGCAAAAACTTTACCATATGAGGTAACATTCACAGGTTCCAGAGATTAAGACCTGATATCTTTGGGGGCCACCATTCAGCCCACTATACCATACAAAACAGCAATCACACTCCTAGGTATTTATCCTAGAGAAATGACAATGTAGGTCTACACAAAAACCTATACACAAATGTTCATTGCAGCTTTATTTGTAATAGACAAAAACTGGAAACAACCCAAATGTCCTTCAGTGGGCAGATGGTACAACCATACAATGGAACATATGCAGCCATAAAAAGGAACAACTATTGATGCACGCAACAACTTGAAAGGATCTTAAGAGTATTATGCCGAGTGAAAAAGCCAATCTCAAAAGTTGTGTACTATACAACTCCATTTATATAACACTTCTGAGATGACAAAATTATAGTGATGGAAAACAGGTTAGTGGTTACCAAGAGAGGTGTAGGAGGAAGGTCTGCCTATAAAGGGGTAGCATGAGGAAGTTTCTTTGTAGTGATGGAATAGGCTTTTTTTTGTGTAAGGAAAATCAGCCCCAAGCTAACATCTGTTGCCAATCCGCCTCTTTTTTTACTGAGGAAGATCGGCCCTGGGCTAATAGCCGTGCCCATCTTCCTCTACTTTTGTTTTTTTTGTGTGGGACGCCTGCCACACCATGGCTTGTTAAGCGTTGCGTAGGTCCATGCCTGGGATCCGAACCTGTGAACCCAGGGCCACAAAAGTGGAGCACACGAACTTAACCACTATGCCACTGGGTCAGCCCTGGAACAGTTTTTTATCCTGATTGTAGCAGTGGTTACATAAATCTACACATGTAATAAACTTTCATAGTACTATACACCCAAAAAAGTGCATATAAAAACTGGTAAAACTGAATAGGATCTGTAATTTAGTTAATAGTATTAAATCGATGTCAATCTCCTAGTTTTGAAATTGTTCTATGGTTATGTAAGATGTTATCAGTGGGGAAAGCTAGATGAAGGATGCGTTAGAACCCTGTACTGTTTTTGTAATTTCTTGTGAGCCTTAAATTGTTTAAAAATAGAAAGCTCCAAACATAAAAAGTAACTTTATTGACTCTGTAGGTGAGAAGTCCAAAAGTAGGGTGGGCTTTAGGTATGGTTTGAATAGAAGTTTACAATGTCTTCAGGCTTGTGGCTCCATTCTCTGAGATTCTCTCCACTCTGCCCTCTATTTTGTGTTGGCTTACTCCTCAGACTGACTTTTCTCATGGTACTAAGTTGGCTGCCAGCAGTCCCTGGGACTACGTGCTTTTTGTTCCCTTCTAGTCAGGAGGAGAAAGAGGCAGCTATCTCTTCCTTTAACCAGAAAAAAACAAAAAAAAAAGGCCTGAGCTCTACTCTGATTGGAGCACCGTTGGTCATGTGCCCACTCCTAAACCGATCGCTGTGACCAGGGAAATGCTATGCACTGATTGCCCATCCATGTGGCAAAGGAATGGGATTACCTGATTGGCTCAGTTCAATCAGGCCCCACTCCTGGAGCTGGATGGGGCCAATGTCCCCTAGATATAATTTTTATTATCAAGTGGGAAGAGGTGGAATGGATGTTGGGTAGCCAACTCCAATGTCTAGTACAACTTCTTGAAATTCACTCTTCCCTTGGTTTCAGATGCACCATTCTTCCTGGATATCCTCTATCAATGGGTCTTAAAGCACAGGAGTTTTCTAGACAGAGAAGGTATAAAGTGTCATTCCAGGCAGAAGAAGCAGCACAAGCAAAGACCTAGAGATGTGAAGGAATGGACCTCTTTAGGAAACAATGAAAATTTTGGTGTGGCAAAGCATAGAGTTCTTGAGGGAAGAGTAGTTAGTAACAAAGCTGAAGAGAAGGGATGAGATCAGTACATGAAGAGCCTTGAATGCCACCTCAAGGATCACAGGTAAGGGAAGACACTGAAGGCTTTTGAGAAAGTAAATGGATTCACTTGACCTTAGAAAGATCTCTCTGGCTTGAACCTGGAGGATGGGCTGGAGGAGGCCCACGTGGAGGCTGTTCCAGTGATCTGGGCAGAAGAAGATGAAAGCCTCACCTAGGGTGGTGGCCGTGGGGATGGGGAGAAATGGGTGGATATGGCAGATGGTGATTTGGTGGCATCAGCAGGACCTGGTGAATTGCTTGGCTTTGTGAAGGGGTTGGGGAGAAGGTGTAGGAGATGATTCACATTTCTGGCTTGAACACTTGATACACTTTTTATCTAAAAAGGCAGGAATGCTCAATTGTGGCAAATGCTCCTGATAAGTCAAGGGAGATAAGGATTTATAAGTGACCATGGGAGTTAGTGACAAAACATCGTAAAGTATGTTGGGGGCAGAAACCAAGTAAATTACAGCAGAATAAGTCATGAATGGAAAGTGGGGAATAATAAGGGCAAGTGAGCTTCCTTTCAAGCTCAGATATAAGAGGAGAGAATAAAGCAGTAGATGAAGAGAGTCATGGAATCTATTCTTAAAGCAGAGAATGTTTTTAAAATTTCCAGCACTTCTCTGCATACTAGCTGTGTAGCAAGCCTGTATCCTCATCTATAAAATGAGTTTTTAATAGTACGTATCTCATAGGTCTATGGTGAAGGTGAAGTCTTCATATTCCCTAAATATTGTTTGTTGTCTGTCTTCTCCACTAAACTTTAAGTTCATGAGAAACATTCACAGTTCCTAGTGCACAATGTGGTTTATCATTAATATTTGTTAAATGAATAATGCATTTAAGACTCTGAGCACAGTCCTGCCCAAGGTAAGCCCTCAGGGAAGTTAGCCAGGGTGTGTGATCCTGGTGGGGAGGAAGGGGCTGCAGGAGGAAGCCGCATGCCCCCAGCTTACTGTTTTCCAGACCCGGAGGATGCGCCCCCTGACCGCCAAGGTGGGAACATGGGCAATTCGGTGGAGGTGCCAGGAGTGAGCCTTCTCGGACAGAGTCACCCCTTCCTGAGCCCATGGCTGGACTGCAACAAGGAACAGGCTGTGGACCCCAAACACCTCCTCCAGCACTGCTTCATGGCCACAGTGACTGCCAGTGACATTCCAGGCAGCCCTGAGGAGGCCCCTGTCCCCAATCTAGACCCATGCGGACCAGCCCCATAAACATCCAATAAATGTCTCTGCACCATCCTCTTCTGGAGTCTCTTTTTGGTGAAAGGTGGGAGTGGGGATGATCAAAGGGACTTTGGAGACTAGCGGGATAAATGAGGGCTTTTCCCAGCAAACCCACCCAAGTCCTGCTGTGGACCCAGCTATACTGCTCTGCCTGGCCTACTGTGGGCCAAAGAGAGTTTAGACATGGGTCCTGGGTAAAATGGTTAGTAACAGCTCCATGCCATCAGGGAGAAGCCTGGGAGCTGTGGAGGCTCAGAGGAGCCCCTCACTTAACCTGGGGAGTCGGAGAACTCTGACTTGGTCTTGCTGCCACACAGCAGGTGTACTTAGGATACCTGGGGAGATGACCAGGACCCAGAGGCAAGTGACTCCTGCCTCTCCTGGAGTGAGCCCCTTGCCAAGGAACAGAATGAGAGGGAGTGTAGAGTACACAGGGCCCAGCCATGTTTAATAATCATTCAGTTCCTTAGGTGGATGAAAGAGTGATTGAACGGGTGAGGGAATGAATGGTTAGCGGACCCAACACAGGCTCCACAAATGCACTTGGCCACTTCCTAACCCCATGTGGCCTTGATAAAGTCCCTTAGTCTCCCTTAGCCTCAGTTCCCTTGTTGGGTTATGACGAGTGTTCAATAAGATGATGGATACGAACTCCCTTCATAAACATGAAAGTGCTTTTTAACACTACAGATGGCTGTTTTTCAACATAACATAGTGAGTAAGAACAGGGACTCTGGAGCCAAATGCCTAGTTCGAATCCTGTCCCTGGCTTTGCTTGCTAGGTAACATTCATGCTTCCATTCTCTCATCCAAGCAAGCGGGTATAATAGTAGTACCCACCTCATAGGGTTTTGGGGAGGATTAAATTACTTAGTCCAGGCAAAGTACTTAGCACAATGTTGGCAACTACATCTTAGCTTTTTTTTTTTTTTTTAATTTTTTGTTATTAAGATGATGGCAAAGGAATCTTAGGGCAAGATGCTGACTGCAACCCCTCTCTCCTGGCTGTTCTCATCCTAACTTTGGCGGTGGCTTTAGGCTTTGCCTTGGGTGGGCGAGGTGAGGATCGAGGAGACTCGGTAGCCACTGAAAGCAGCCCTTGACATTTCTGACAGTGACATGAGCTGCTGCTGGATTTGGCAACAGCGAAATGGTCACTCTTAGGTATCTGTGCATGGGGCCCGAGCCAGCAAAGGGCACAGGATGGGGTGGCGAGGCAGGGTGTCACCCACAGAAGTGCCCTGGGCTGGAAGTCGAGAGACTTCGGTTTGGGTCTTGCTTTATTTGTTGTCTCATGTGCATGTGTGTGCTTGTGTGTGTCTTTTATTTTCAGCTCCCTAAACCCAGCACCTTTGCCCACTTATTGTACATTCAGTGGTGTCTATTCTGTGCCAGGACCCGTGCAGTTTACCAGAAACAACAGGGAATCAGCCACAGCTGCTGCCCTCAGGGGCTTCATATGGAGGGTGAGGCAGGTGCACAAAAGGGCAGTGGGCCCAGTGGGGCCCTTCACGCAGCTGGAGGGAGGAATATGTGATGCCTGAGCTGAATCATCAAAGATGAGTCAAGGTTTCAGTTGAGACAAGGTCAGAAGACATTATAGTCAGAGTACAACCTGTTCAAAAACAGTGAGAGAGCCTAGCACAGCCCAGGAACTGCAAGTTATTTGTTGTAGAGAGAGCTTAGGGCACTTGTGTGTGTGGGGTGTGTATGTGTGAGTGTGTGGCAGGAGTGGTGATAGGTGGGAGATTTAGTCGCTGACGCTCTGTGTGACCTTTCACAGGACAGATCCCGTCTCTCTCCTTGGTATCCCCATCAGTGAAATTCAATTTTTCTCTGAACTCTTTCTATGCTAGGCCTTTTGAGAAGTTACATGGAAGAATCCCACACTGCCCTTGCCTTTAGGCTGCTCACGGTATGATAGTGGGAGATGATCTATAAATTCTAAAACCTCAAGTAGTCATCAGTGGCCTAAGGCAGGGGTTCTCGAACTTCAGCCTGCACAGAATCAGCTGGAGGGCTTGTGAAAACACGGATTGCTGGGCCCCCCTCTCTGCCCTTGGAGTGTCTGATTGGGTGGGTCTGGAGTAAGTCCCCAGAATGTGCATCTCTAAATAGTTCCAGGTGATGCCAGTGCTGCTGGTCTGGGACCACCCTTGGAGCACAACTGGCCAGGAAGAACAAAGAGGACTCAGAGCTGGGGAGGTTAAGAGGAGACCGCACACTGAGCGGGGCCCTGAAGACCCGGTAGAACTTCCTCAGCAGGAGCCTGTGTGTCTGGGGTGGGGATAGGTGGAAAACAGAGTGTGTGTGCTGCCTTTGCAGACCTACACGTCCCAGGCCCCACAGAGCTCGTCCCCATGCCCCATGTTCAGCTTCTCTTGTTTGAATTCAATCAGTCCTGAGAGCCGGCTCTCACTGGGGTTGGCCTGTCTGAGTCCTGCGTTGGAAACAAACTGCCCACCTGTGCACCTGTGCAGTGGGAGCCCCCTCCCCCAGGGCAGCCGAGGAGGAAGGAGGCTGGGTGGGCTGACGCACAGACAGAAATCGTCTGAGCTCACCGCTGCTCCCAAGCACACATCGACCGGCAATTTCTTGCAAATTGCTTTCCCGGTTATGTTCAGAACGTGTGTGTGCCTGCCGGAGAACACACACTCGCGGGCACAGTGAGAAGGTGGCTGGGTGGGGAGCGGACTCCAGATGGAGTGCGGGCCCAGTCTGAATCTTCAGCCGAGAGTTAGGGAACTGGTGAATCTTAGAACTTGGAAATGTTAGAACTTTCCACTCACCTTTATAGCACTCCCGTCAGGTGGTTTTCCAGCCTGTCCTCAAACATTCATGTTTGTTCGTTCCTTCAACATTGATTGGACAGTGATTTTCTGCCAGGATCTGGGCTGAATGAAGTCCAAGTCCCTGTCCTCAAGGAGCTCATGGCTATGGCATCTACAGGAAATCCCTAACCCAGCCAAAGGCTTCAGGGAAAGCTTCTTAGAGGAAGTGATACCTGAATTAAGTCTGAAGGACCCACTGACAGGTGAAAGGGGGTTTGTGGTACAAGATGGGGAACAGCATTCAAGGCAAAGGGAACAGCATACACAAAGACCAGAGGTAAGAAAGAGCAAGTGGTGATTTCAAGGAACAATAAGTAGTTCAGTTCAGTGGACACCATAGTCAAGGTGGGGAATGGTGAGAGATGAAGCTGGAGGGATATATGGGCCAAGTCCTGAAGCCTTTGCCATATAATGGGCTTGGGCTTTATCCTGTGGGCAAGGGGGAGCCGTGGGAAGGGGTTTTAAGCATGGAAAGGAACTGGGCACCTTATGTGACAGCTTGCTCTCACATTCTTCATGACATTGAAGTGAAATTTGCCACCCAGGAGCTCTGTTTTTGAGGCATATTGAACACCTGCCCCTTTGGTTCCTGAAACCTCAGAAGTCTGAAGGTCAGTGATGGCTCGTGTGCCCACAAGAAATGGCTCAAGCCCTGGACATCTCTCCTCTTGTCAGGAGGCCATTCCACCGCCATTCATGACACTGCTCTTCCTGGTCTATGCCCAGTTAGCTCAGGGGCCAGAGCATGGGGCAACTGAGGCCCAGGCCACAGGCCAGAGCCCAGGAGAGCAATGTGCCTTGCTCTGTCCCAGAGATCGGGGAGGCTCTCATGTGTGGAACACTCACAACGGTGTGAATAGCTCCTGGCATGCCACGTCTGTACCTCCCAGGATCAAGGCCACCCAGAGTGGGTCCACTCAGGGAGTGCTGACTGAGGACACACTGTGGGCCCAGCACTGTGACAAACCCAGTAGGATAGAAGACGCAGCCCTGCCCTTAGGGACTTACTCTCTAGGGATGAAGAATAGGTTTAAACCATGAAAACCCCAGACAGCAGTTGGAGAGAGTTCGAAAGAACTGCCAAGCCGTGGAGTAAAGCCATTAAGGTTGCAGAGATTCTAAGACAGGAGAAAAGAAATAGTCTGGAAGCGTTTGTGGAGGAACTGGGGGTTGAATTTGACCTTGATGAACCATGGCAATATTTTAAGGGTCTCAATGAGGTAGAGGAAGTGTTTTATAATGTCAACTTTATATTTAAAGAGAGTACCACTGTGGTTCCAAGGGCTTTGGACAAGTAGACCATTCAACAGCCCACCCCCAGCCATAGTCATTCAACAAACACATTAATATTTTTTATGTGCCAGGCCTTGTCCTGAGCTCCAGGAACAAAGAAATGAATCAGTCATCAATCTTGCCCTAAGGGAGTTCTGAGGCTATTGGGCAAAAACTGAAGGTTAAATAGACAATTATAATAGTCTTCAACATTGATTGAATGCCTTTCAATGCCTTCAACATGGCATTGAAAAATGCCATGATTTCTTTATTCAAGCATCAGTTGAAAGATGGCTTACCACCAAGACAGGCTATGCTAACCTCATACACGGCGTTACATTAGTGCAATGTAACTGCCACCTCTCCCGTCAAGCAGCGGGATGTATTTTCCCATCCTTTGTTTCTGTGCTGACTTGGTGACTTGGTTTGACAAATAGCAAGTGGCAGAAGTGACACCGTGCTACTTTTGAGTCTAGGCCTCAAAAGACCTTGCAGCTTCCTCTCCCACCCTCTTGGAATGCGGTGTCACTATGTAAGGAAGCCCAGGGCAGCCTGCTGGAAGATGAGACCATGTAGAACACACATGGACTCTCCACTGAGGCCCCCCCCAGACAGCTCCAGGTGGAGCTATCAGATGACTGCAACTACTGAGTGACTCCAGGGGAGATCACAGAAGAACCACCAGTCAAGCCCAGCCCAAAGTGCCAATCCACAGAATCATGAGCAAATAAATGGTTATTATTTTAAACCATCTGTTCTGGAGTAGTTTGTTACACAGCAGTAGACTATTGATACAGTTCTTTTCACATATTTTACTACAATTGTGAATGTACCTGTCTTCTCCATTTGTGAGCTCCTCCTTAGAGGAAAGACACTGTCTTTGTGGAGAATATCTTCTGTTTGCCACTCCAG